TGGAAAAATACTGACTTAAAGGGCTGAAATGGATCACCATTGAAATTACTGATGTCACCTGGAAAGCAAGGGAGGCTTCGAAATTGGTCTGCGATACAAGATCACTGGTACTTATTTTTGTGCTTACAATGAAAGTTTGTTGCAATAAATGAAACTCATATCCTAGAGAAGAAGAGGGCAAGATCTCAGTAGAAAAAACAGTTAACAGACATTGCCATGGTGTATGTCACTGCTAAATCACGTTTGTTTCGTGATACTTGCCTGGATAGTCCTACCAAGAAATTAAATAAATATATTTCCTAATGCCTTCCATAAAATTAGATTCATGCTTCATAATCATTTCAGTTCTCAATAGTCAGAGGACTCACTAAAATTAGAGCTCTTCCCGTCATTCCATTGTGAATTTATTTATTTATTTATTTAATTTTATTTTATTATTTTTTTGTGAGGAAGATCAGCCCTGAGCTAACATCCATGCCAATCCTTCTCTTTTTGCTGAGGAAGACCGGCACTGAGCTAACATCTATTGCCAATCCTCCTCCTTTTTCTTTTCCCTTTTTCTCCCCAAAGCCCCAGTAGACAGTTTTATGTCATAGTTGCACATCCTTATACTTGCTGTGTGTGGGACGCTGCCTCAGCATGGCCAGACAAGCAGTGCCGCGGTGCGCGCCCGGGATCCGAACCCAGGCCACCAGTAGCGGAGTGAGCGCACTTAACCGCTAAGCCACGGGGCCGGTCCCTCCACTGTAAATTTATATTCTAATTAAAGATTCTACATATTGTTGTTTTGCTTCTTACAGGATAATTTTTTTTAAAGCAGCACTTGTAAAAAAAAAACCTGGTTTATTTTTCTCCTGGATCAGGAGGAAAAGAAAAGCTATAAAAGACATTTTTGGGACCACTGAGGATATTTAATATTATTATTTATATTATGTTATTGATATGATTATTAATATTACATTAATTAAGTCAATGTAAGTTTTTTATGGTGATAAAGGTATTATTATGATATAGGAAAATGTTCTTGTTAGGAGAGACATGCTAAAGAATTCAGAAGTGTCATGATATTTACAGTTAAAGCAAATAGGGCAAAAAGTTAACAATTGGTGAATGTAGGTGAAGAATATAAGGGTGTTAATTGTATTATTCTTTTAATTTTTCTACAGCTATTAAATTTCTCAACATACAAATTTAGGGAGAAAAACGCTACGCTACTGATTTTTTAAAATGTCAATCAAAATTAGCCTTATCAATAAACTTATGACAAAAAGAGTTACTACACCTCAAATTGTAATTCTCCCTTCCTAAGTAATAATGTCATAAATAAGGACTTTTCCACTGAAAACCAAACATCAAAGGCATTTCCTATTCATAAAAGCATTCTAAATAGCCATGCATTAGAGGAGTTTTAACAAAGTTTGAGAACAGAAAAGGTATTACACTTAGATCAAGAGGGTTAAGTTTTCCCAGTTAACTATGGGACTTACCTATCCATGTCATCATCTCCTGGTAATAAGGGTGGGAGGGGCAGAGGAGGCAACGTTGAAGTTTTTAGGTGTGGAATAGCAGCTGTTAAAGATACTTGAGTCTTCACAGAAACCTGTACAGGGGGCTGAGAATTTGCCTGAAAGGACAGAGTAGATGTCCTTGGGTGGGTAGAAGGGGGCAAAGTTGAAGTACTAGAAGCAAGAACCTGACTAAATGCTGGTTGGGGAGGCAGAGGTGGTTGCTGTGGAAGAGCTGGTAGTGGTGGCAAAGGTGGCAAAGGAGGTGTCTGAGGTGGAGGGGTAGTAGTTGGTAAAGGAGGTGGAGGAGAAGTAACTGTGGGGAGAGGTGGAGGGGTCTCCTTTTCTGATGTCTCTGTCTCTTTTGGAGTAACAATCTCCTCTTTCAATGCTACGAGTTTAGAGTCTCTTGTTCCCTGTGCTTTCAAATCTTTAAGAACAGGATGCTTCTCAGAGTTCTCATCCAACTTTACTTTCCCTGTATCTAAAGAATTTTTGACCTCTGTGTTTAGATGTGTTACATTCACCAGTTCAGTATCTGGGGCAGACTTTTCCAATTTTACACCTCTGGGTAACTTTTTAGACTCCAAGCCTGAATCCTTAGACTCTACTGAACTGTTCTCTTTTCTAGGCAAAAATATAGGTGAACCCTTGGATTCCTTTCCATCCATTTTTGCTGCAGCAGCAGCAGCTGCTCTTTCCTTCTTTTTCCTACTGAGTTCAGCTCCCAAGCTGGAGTTCAATGGAAGCCTGACAGGTGAGATACTGGAATGTCGACTGCGTGACCCGGATCTCTTCTTTTTACTATGAGAAGATGAGTGTCTTGAATATGCAGGACTTCTACTTCTAGACTTCATAGATTTCCTACTGGAAAAAGAAAAGGGCAGTTTAAAATGGACAGGCTACAGCAATACAGAGGAAAAGAGATCAGTTAAACAAACTATGGAGAACTGTAACTTAAAAATTACACTTTGAGTAATTTAGCAATCTTAAAAATAGATTAGGTACCATTAAATAATAATAATGCATCAATATTGGTTCATTAATTGTAATAAATGTACCATACTAATATAAGATGTTAATAGGGGAAACTGGGTGCAAGGTCATATAAGAACTCTTTGTACCATCTTCACAACTTTTCTGTAAATCTAACTGTTCTAAAAAATAAAGTTTATTTAAAAAATAGATTAGAAGGAACTAAATCCTGCATGACAACATATTTTAATCATATAACACTAAAAATTATTCACTACTTATTCAACTGAAGGAAGATGGATGGATAGTTTTTCCCCACATTGGAAAATACCCATATTCATAATGATTAATTTTTAAATTTTGGTTTAAATATCTAATAAAATGAAAACATGATTAAAAAAAGTCATACTTTATACTAAAGGTGGGTTATATCAATCAGGAAGCTAAAAGTAACTAGCATGCTTCACTAAAACCTAACGTTTTTAACTAAGAAAAGATTTTGTTCCTTGTACACTCAGTTTATAATTAAGTTGTGCCTCTACTAAACAAACCCCCAACATACAAGAGCTAAGACTTATGAAACAGATAAACTGGAGAAATTGTAAATTGTCTTAACAAAATAATTTATTAGAAGTTCTCAAAACTATGATGGCTTCTGGTACTTTCAAATATAAAATGATTTCCAATCAACTTTTTAGGAACTCATAAAGCAAGGTATTATTGCATGTTCAATTTATTTTCTTCATTATTAAGGAAGGATTGGGAAGGAAAACCTGGAAATCTATGATGCAGATTATTCTAAACTGAAATCCAACCCTCGTTAATTCTTTTTGCTGTTTAATAAAGCCTAAAGTGCTCAGGCCTCAATGTGAAGGGAAAAAAAAAGTTAGCACTAAAAATGTGACTGGACAAAACATAATTTGCCCAGTAGTCTAAAACAAATTGTTCTCATTCCAGATCTTCAATATCTCTCTTGATCTTTGATCACTGGTTAAGACTGCCATGAATCAAAATGTTTGAAAACAAATAGCATATATGTGTAGGGGAAACAATTTATATAATGTTAGCCATGGTTTTCTTATACCTATACCACTTTTTGGAAGTTTGCTCCAAAAAGTTAGTTAAAATACAAAGTCATTACTGGAATCAAAGTACTAAAAATAATGAAAACAACATATACATGAACATGAGAACACAAAATATTGAAAGTAGTTAAGTGGATTTACCAAATATCCACTTACCTTTAGGAAAACTAATACTTCTCTTGTAAATAACTGGCTGAAACAAGAGGTTTTCTCTGATTGAATTATAGCTGGGACAAAACTAACATCTCTATCCCAAGGTAAACTTCTAAAAACCCAAAGACTAAGTAATGTCAAAGACCATGCTCTACAAACCATTATTTCTTTCATCTTTCAGAGTGACTAAATCTTCCTAAGGAACTCTGCTACAAACCCTTCAACTTCTGAACAGAAGCCTACTGTTCATAGGACATTTGGATGGCCATATACTTATGGCATTTTTAGTGATACAGATGCTGTATCTGAGGTCCAGATCCACTCTTCAAGGAAAAAGAGGGAGGGAGAAGGGACAACAAAGAGATAAACGCAGGCTGCAATAAAAAATTTGTCTTCAAAAAAATGTTATTTTTCCCCTGAATTGTTAGGTTCCTTCCATTTGAAATGAAATTGCTATTAATCACTACTAATTTGGTGGGTGCACAGATCTTGCATTTCTGCCAAAGCATTTTCAGTCTTTTAAAACAATGTAGCTTCTTTCATTTTGACTGTGCCTCCCAAGGAAAAAACACAGAGAATACCACAGAAAAGATCTGTATGTTCCTCTACTCTATGAAATTTGTGTACTGTTTGGAATTTCAAAAAATGAAGAAAAATATGCAATGCATACATACAAACATAAAATGCTCTCTATAAGCCAACTAAAAATGTGCCATGTGACTCTGGGATTATGACATAGTGTTCATATTTGCATCCTATACTATCATATTGTGTCTCCAATTCTTTCTTTCTTTTAATAATTCTTATTTATTTATTTATTTTTCCCCCAAAGCCCCAGTAGATAGTTGTATGTCATAGCTGCATATCCTTCTAGTTGCTGTATGTGGGACGCGGCCTCAGCATGGCCGGAGAAGCGGTGCGTCGGTGTGCACCCAGGATCCGGGGATCCGAACCCGGGCCGCCAGCAGCGGAGCGCGAGCACTTAACCGCTAAGCTACGGGGCCGGTCCTCTCCAATTCTTTCTTGATTTATTTTTACCATTACTGCACTAGTTCCAATTTAAGTGAGTGGAGGAAGAGAGAACTTGAGATATGAATCCAAAAGGATCATTGCAAAGCAGTAGTTCTTACTGAAACTTGTTTTAGTGTTTTAGCCTCAATGCACTTCTTTATTCCCAAACCCCACAACAATAAAAATTCTCAGAAGAAACAATGAAACTACTCCCTCAAGAAAACAAATAGTCTGAGAATATTTCTTAGGAAAAACTAAGAAATTTTACAAATGGTACACTTAAAACTTATCCATTTCATTATATATAAATTGTACAAACCCTCACCCCTCCAAAAAAAAGTGAACTCTAGCTAATGGTATACATGCTAAAGTGTTTATCAATGAAGTAAACTGATGTGTGCAACTTACTCTGAGATGAATCAAAACAAAAGATGGATTGAGGGAGAGATGGATAGAGATAAAATATATAGCAAATATTAACATAGAGTCTAGGTGGTACATATATGGATCCTCATTACAATTCTTTCAACTTTTCTGTCCTTGAAAAATTGTGATAAAATGGGGGGGAAAAAAACTAAGGAACTTTAGACCCTGATAGCTAGGAACTCTGCAGCTTAATGAATTCAAACTAGTTTATGAATAATTATAACTTTAAGTCAGCAAAAATTACTCATATTGACATATAAAAGACGTGCATGGATTTTTCCAAATTAGCATAATTTCTCTACTAGTGTTCAACATTTTCCTCACTCATAGTATTACTGAGTGGCTCCAAGTACCAGGCAGGCACTGTGCTATGCACTTGATATTTACTAATTTAATCCTCACAACAACTCTAGAAGTAGGTAGTTACTGTTCCCATTTTACACATGAAGAAACTCAGGCATGGAGAAATTAAATTATTTGCCAAAGGCCACAAAACAAGATTAGGATTCCACTCAGGTATAACTCCAAAGCCCAGGTTCTGGACAAAGGTGAGTCCACAAAGAGGGAGGTACATCTCATCATCTAGAAACAAGAACACAGTTTTCCGTAGATAATTCACTCCAACAAATAAATTTCAAACATGCCTTTCTCGCAAAAATATCATGGTGAAGGCACTATTACCGATTTTTAGAGAAAGATTTCGAAAATTGCCAGTGGTCACAGGGTAGGTCAATGGTGATGCTGTAAAGAAAATCAAATTATCCTTGGAAGAGATTTCTGCTAGGCTATCCCCTCAAAAGGAAAAAGGACTAATCAGCTGAATTTCCACTAGAAACACTAGTTAAAAGACAGGAGTCATCAAAACATTGTCATTTAGGAAATAAATAAACTTACAGGTCTGGAGTCTCAGTGGACAGCACAAATGGCAGATAACCTAGGCAAACAGCCTCAAGATAATACAAATGAAAATATGTAATTTCTTACATCTCCAATCAGGTCCAATGAAGTCTAAAGCACTAATACCAAGATGATTTAAAAAAAAATTAAGACAAAGCAACAGAAATAGCTAGAGAAGCTCTGGGAACCATTATCAATTCTATGTACTCAATAAGCAGAAGCCTATGATTTTTCACACACAGGAACTTACAACCGAAGATCCCACCACTGCAAGTACCTACCTTTAGTAATTTTAGCCATGTGAACTCCCCACTTCTCAAAATCTGGGTTAAGAAGAGACCAGATTCATCTATTTGAATGACTAGCCATTAGTAAAGTGTTCTAGTCAACGATGAACACTGGGGTCTTCAACAAAATGTTAACATGACTAATTGCTCGTTCTTCATAACCCACCCTAAGTAAAAAAGGACTGTTAGACAAACAGCTCACCTGGGGAGTGGACTCCGACTCAGAGATCGTTTGCTCATGAAAGGGCTGCTGGACCGCCGTCGACCATAGGGACTAGGTGATCTCCCACTGTAAGAGCCACTCCTTTCATAGCTGGACGATCGTCTCCGGCTGTAGGGACTCACAGACCTCTGTCGTCTACTGTAGGGACTGGGGGACCGGGTGCTGGACTGGTAGGCCGAAGGCTCCTTGTAAGGTGGGCTAATTGACTGCCTTCTTGAGGTACTTCCAGGACTCTTCTTGTAGGAGTCATAATTGCTAGAGGTGTGAGATCTTGGGGGACTAAGGTCATAATCTTGGCCATAAGAAGCTCCTGAGGGGCTATCATCTTGCTTGGGGCTGTCAGACCATTTCCTGTGGGGACTCCTGGATCTCCGTTTGGGGCTGTCCACTGTTTTGTAACTTTTGGGTGTTTCCCTTTTCCGATGACTTTTACTCCGGTCTTTGTGCCCAGACTTCAATTCCCGTTCTTTCCGGGTCTTCTCCTTATGGAGTTTGGATGACCTCGATTCCTTGTTGCTGCTGCTTTTGGCTATCTGTGCCTTTCCATAGTCATCATTCTCCTCATTGGAACGCTTTGAACTGCATGAAATCCGGTCCTTCATCGATCCCGACTTACTGGAGACTTCCTGGTTTTTTTCTTTCTCTGTCTGTTTAGTTTTTAGTAAGTCCCGGGAACGTCTGTGCTGGTGGTGACGATGTTTGTGCAGGCGGTCACTCCGATCAGTTCCACGACGTTCATCATTCTCCCTCCTGTCTACTTTGAAGGCCATGTCGTCAGAGAAGGTATCTGAATCTGAGCTGATGTCATCATATTCCACCAAAGGTTTGATAATTGTACCCAAAGGTGCTGCTTCGGGGGTCACCAACCCCATGTCTTTGGAGTGCTTGGACTTATGCCGCTTGTGCTTCGACACCAAGCGGTGACGCTCTCTGCTGTTGGAGCTGCCACCTCCCGATGACGGCTGCAAAGTTCCAGAAGCTCCTCCAGTCCCGTCCTTCTTGCCCCCATGTCTCTCTGGATTGGGCATTCCCTTTCCCCTGGCCTCAAAAAGGGGAAAAAGTTCCCCAGCACTTCAAAAAGTAACCCCCACCCTCCCCCCCAACCCCTACCCCACGCCTACCAAAGCGCCCCTAGAAGGGGGTGGGGAGGGAAGGGACGGTAGCCCAGGCTCCTCCTCCCTCCCGACTCCTCAGCACCCTCCTACATGAGGTGGGGGGTGAAGGAGCCAGGGAAGAAATTAGAGTTCCTCAGCAGTGGAGTTGCGAGACAACGGGTAGCTGCTCAAGTCTGTTTCCCCTCCTCCCCCCGCCGAGCCAATCCTCAGGCCCCGGCGCCGGGGAGGTCGAGGAAGTACGAAGCCGACGGCCCGGGGCTGTGGGGCCGACTCCGGCTCTGGGGCCCTGTGAGGACTACGCGGGCCCTTCCCCTACCCGGTAGCCCGGCTCGGGGCGGCTTCCTGTCGCTGGGGTCCCGCGGCCTAGATGCCTCACGACCCCTTTGTCCCTCGCTCCTGAGGGAGCCCCTTTTCTTGCCTTTGCCTCACCTCAGTACCTCACACACTCACTCGCTCCCTCACACAGACTCACAGTCACACACTAGGTTAAACCGAAACGGCACTTGCAAGAGAGGGGGAGGGGGCAATCCCAGGAAATATCGCGAGAATCCGGTCGGCTCTCGCGGTACTTCGTGCTTCCCTTTCACCTCTCGCCACTGTTGGTCAAACAACGCGAGAGCAGGTCCCGAGCAAGAAACGCCTTCCAGCAGATTCTCGCGATAACCTCCCCGCTCCCTATTTGATCAAAGCTTTATTGAAACGGAGCTAGGGGTTTTTTTTTTATTCAAACTTTATTGATAACTCGTTGAACAAATACTCCGGCTCCGGCGCAAACTAGTTTTTGCATACTTTTAACAAATCTTTTAACTACCGGGATGAAAATATTGTCAACAAGACAAGGCGAATGTGGGGACATTTCAACCCAAGGCCCTAAGTATTAACAGTGCTTTCCACTTTTATAGCGTATACTACGTGCGTTATGTCTAATTCTCGTACTACCCCGCAAAACACAATATCCTCATCCCTATTTTACAGATAAGGACCCCAGACTCAGAAGAGTTTAACTTAGGGTAACAAAGCTAGTCCAGCAAGTGTCAAAGACAAGACTCTTCATGTCTGACACTAAAGCAAAAGCTCTTTCATTTTGTGGCATGACCCCTGTTCACGCTCCTTAAAATCTCAGAACTTGAAAGCTCATCACTTCTTGGGATCATCTACAGCTCTTCTGGAATCACTTAGCCTTTTATCTTCACACAAAAGATTATAATTATGAACAAGAAAAGCATAATATTTTTGAATAAGAAAAAATAGTATCTTACACTGCCCTCATTTTTTTACTTTTCAAAACTCCTTCGCACACATTAACTCATTCTATCTTCACAGCAACCCTCTGAAATAGGGTTAAGTGAGAAACTAAGGCACAGAGAAGTTAAGTGACTTGTCCAAGCTTCTTTTCTTCAACAGATTTATCTGTGAGACTTTAACATCCTTCTCTGTGTAATAAGGCTCACTCAGGGCCCTCAAGTAGGACATAGAGAATATATTCATATCACAAGATATAAGGTGATAAATATCATAAGGATGATACAGAGAACTGCAGAGGTGGAAAAGGAGTTTAGGAATGTTAAGAGAAAGCTTTATGAAAGTAGGGCATTTGAATTGGGCTAGGAAGAGTTGACATATGATTTGTATCTAAGCAAAGAAGGGAAGATCACCCAGTAAATTAGGAGCCTAATAATTCTGAATGAAGGCAGAAGAATCCACTCTCAAAATCACTCCCTGAAAATGTTCTTGTTACTTTTGGTCTCATGGGTACCAAAAAAAGTTTTTTACCTAAATGTTGTGGGGGGTTTTTTTGGTGAGGAAGATTGTCCCTGAGCTAACATCTGTGCCAGTCTTCCTCTATTCTGTATATGGGACACCACCACGACAAGGCTTGATGCATAGGTCCACAACGGAATCTGAACCTGCCAACCCCAGGCCCCTGAAGCGGAGCACACCAACTTAACCACTAAGCCACTGGCTGGCCCCTACCTGTATTGAGTCCATAAATCTTGATTAAAGACAAAAAAGAGTGGGGCCGGCCCCGTGGCTTAGCGGTTAAGTGTGTGCGCTCCGCTACTGGCGGCCGGGGTTCGCATCCTGGGCGCGCACCAACACACTGCTTCTCTGGCCTGGCTGCGTCCCACATACATGCAACTAGAAGGATGTACAGCTATGACATACAACTATCTACGGGGGCTTTGGGGGGAAAATAAATAAATAAAAATTTTAAAAAAAGTGAAGCTTTTCATTGAAGTTTTATATCTTATATTCTATAGCACTTTTCAGTTTTCCACAGAACTCTTTTAAGTTTGTCAATAAATATCAGTTGAACAAATAAATAACCTGGTGAGGTAGCCAGGATGGGTATTATTATATGCATCTACTAAAGGTTGAAACTGAGACTCAGAAAGAATAGGAGCACATTTATACTAAATGTAGTCAGTGCCAGGGGCAGGGACAGCTCTTTCTTTAATCCTAAACCAGTACTCGTTCTAGTGCACTACATTTTCTCTTTTTGGTGGATAAAAGTCTACTCTAACATCAATTACATAAAGCTGGGGGAAAAAATTCTATTCCTGGAAATCTCAGATTGTAAACTGCCTGGATTGGTTCAACAACTAGTGAGAATACTGCTTTTGTAAAATAAAGGTTAGTTCACTCTACAGAAAAACTTTGAACTCAGAAATTCCAGGACTGTGCCATTTGCTTTATTTGCATGACCTCCCGGGGCAGGGAGTCAGGGCAAATCTGTGAACCCCAAGGTGATCAGTCAGGTAATGACTATACTTTCTCTGTAAATCCCCCAAAACAGGTCAGAAAGCTTCTCTTTAGGCTGTACACAAGAGGAAATATTTAACTAAAGTTACAATAACTTTGCCCCCCACAGACTAATTTGTTGTTTATTTATTTATTTTTTGTGAGAAAGATCGGCCCTAAGCTAACATCTGCCAATCCTCCTCTTTTTTTGCTGAGGAAGACTGGCCCTGAGGTAACATCCATGCCCATCTTCCTCCACTTTATATGGGATGCCGCCACAGCATGGCTTGCCAAGCGGTGCGTTGGTGCGCGCCTGGGATCCGAACCGGCGAACCCTGAGCTGCCACAGCAGAGTGCACGCACTTAACCGCTTGCGCCACCGGGCTGGCCCCTAATTTATTGGTTTAGATTTTAGATTTCAAGAGTCCTCCAAAGTCTCCCTCAAAGATGAGTCCCTTAAAATCTGTCCATTGTCTCTTTCTTGCCATGTAGAAAGATGTTTCCTGTGTGGGCCTTAAATGCTTTTCTTGTTTAATGACACATCTCTCCTATCTTTACATCTAGAGTACAAATTTTTTAACAATGTCATTTCATCTGCATTTTCAGATGAGAAATTATAACTTATTCTATTCTATGAGCGGAATTTGGTAAAGTGTACTCCATTTTCAAGCTTTATAAGGGTTAAAATTTCTAGCTACACTTAGAACAGACATTATTGTTTACTTGTACAGAGAGTTTCCATGAGGAAGTGTAGCTGTGTAGCTAACATTGATACTTTGGGCATAATAATAAATTAACAAAAATTTTTTGAGTACCTATGATTATAGCGACCATTCATATTTTCAGAAGTCTAAATTAGGTGAGCCCATCAAGGGCTAGGGCTGTTTTCATGTTTATATTACCAGCTCCTAATACACAAGTATTAGCACCCCGTAGATACTTGCTGAATGAAGAGCACTTTGTTTGACAACAGGAAAGGAAATAGCATTTAAAATATGAACTATTGGGCCAGCCCCGTGGCTTAGCGGTTAAGTGAGCGCGCTCCGCTGCTGGCGACCCGGGTTCGGATCCCGGGTGCGCGCTGACGCACCGCTTCTCCGGCCATGCTGAGGCCGTGTCCCACATGCAGCAACTGGAAGGATGTGCAGCTATGACATACAACTATCTACTGGGGCTTTGGGGGGAAAAATAAATAAATAAATAAAATCTTTAAAATATGAACTATCTTTGGAAATTCTCTCGTGGATAAATGCTGTGTGTACTTCATCAATTTTAAGGTTGCTAGATTTACATTATATAATATTCGGAACATACTTCTATGCTAAAAAATATAGAAATCTGAAATTCAAATTTAACTGAGCATTCTGTATTTTATCTGGCAACCCTATCAATTTATCTCAACAATATACACTGAGTCGCTGATATGTGTCAGGAGCTGGGCTAGGCAATGTCACTAGACAGTAGTGAAAGAAACCGAACCAGTGCAGCCCTCCCAGAGTTGACAGTCTAGCAGGGAAGACAGGCATTGAAGAAATCATCATGCACTTAATTAATTTTCATGGTGAAAGTGCTATTAAAGAAATAATAATATAACAGAGAATCTGATCAAATCAGGGCTTAGAGAAGGCTTGCTTCGCTAGTTAGAGGAAGAGACATTTAAATTGAAATCTGAATAAGAGGGCCTTAATGAGGTGAAAAGACTGGAATAGGGGAAAGCCTCCCAGCAGTTAAAAAGGCCTGTTTGAGGACCTTGGAAGAGGAAGGAGTACAGGAATTTTCTGCACATGAAGAAGCCCAGTGTGGCTGGGGGTTGGCAAGGGCAGAAGAGCTGGGTCTAGCAAGGCTTTGCAGGCCCAGGAAAAGATTTGCCTACTATGCCCAGGTATAGTGCTAGGTAGTGGGAATTCAGAAATGAGGGGCAATTCCTGCCCCAAGAAACTCACTATGTAGTGACTCAAAGGAATGAGGATAAGAGGAATAAGCAGGAAATAAAATTTGAATTCTACTTTCAAGGAGCATGGTTATAGGTATCTTTGTGGCAATAAAAACATGTTCCCAGACATTTCCAAAGTTTTGTTATTATTAAATTTACACTGCTGTGCCTGCTCACCTGAACTATAGTTATCTGCTGGAATTGCTTTGGAGGATGTTTGAATAGCATTTTTGAAATGTGGGGAAAGTCTGAGACTAGAGAGCCAGCAGAAGTCCACTCCTTAGTATCCTTGCAGCAAACTACATAAAATCCA